CCTACAGAAAAGAACATTTATGTTTAATCTATCTAATAGTGTGTTGGTCATACCATACAATGATTTATAGCTTGTCTTTGTTGAATAATACAGAACATAAAGAGCTTTAAAAAAAATTATTGCATATTAAATTGCAATCGCAATATTGGGAAAAAAATCGCTTTCCTTCGTCTCCGTCTCCGCTGGTTCCGTCCAGCCCTCCTTCGTCTCTAGAGCGCCCCCCCACCCCAGAGCCGGCTCCAGCCCCAAAACTCACTCCAGTGCCAGCACCACGTAAGCGCTACCCTGATCCCCAGTTCAGCCCAGGGAGGGCTCCTGATCCCCAGAACTCGCTCCAGCCCCAGAGTTCGCTCCAGTGCCCGCTCCTCGTAAGCGCTTTCTAGAGCGCCATCTAGTGCCTGCTCCTCCAGAGCTCCCCCCGTATACCCGTGGCCGAGTCAGCTAAGGCCACAGAGGATCTGCCATGGCCTCCTGAGTCCCCTGTTCCGCCATGGCTCCCTCATCCGCCCTGGAGGCTCTCCTTGTCTCCGCCCTGTTCCAGTCCTGCAGCAGCCTCCAGGGCTATAATCTTACTGACCCCGAACATTTGAATGATATATATATATATATATATATATATATAAAGTTAATTTATTTTGGGCTCAGGTTTGATAAGGATGGATGGAGGTGTTTGTGTCTCCTGAGTTCAGATGACCTGTTCCAGCATGCTTCACCTTCTCTGTAATTACACACACTAATATATCTGCTTCATATAATGGCTGGAGAGAGAGAGAGCCAATCAATCAAACTCCTCTAGACTTCTGTTGCTAGTCTCATACACTGTACATTGGAGTGTTTGTAATGGTTTTGAACTTTTAAAGTGCCCTGTGAATGGTTTTGAACCCCATAACCCCAGCACCCCTCCCCCAACCCTTCTTTCTTTTATACATTGGTACCTCATTTGACTTTTTTCTCTATTTTATGTTTTCTTTTGTTCCAGAGCAGTGACTCAAGATAAATGTATGCGGTCTATTAACTTTTGTTTTTCGCCTTTTCCCGTTTGTTCTCTCCCTCCGGCTGTCCTCCTCAGATTAATTAGGAGTAATATATCAGTCATTTTGATCATTTAAGACATGACTGGAGCAAAATTCACATTTGTGGGTAAATGTCTTTCCCTCCTTCTCTCTCTTTCTTCTGTCTGTCATTTATATACATATAAAGATACACATTCTTACTTCTTAAGCACTTCAAGATATAAGACCAGGCAGATAGAGGGGTAAAAAACAATATTAATAAATAATATATACAAATAATACTAATATTAATGATATTAACATACTAATATTAATGAAAAACTATCATTAAAAAGGCTATTTATAACACCAATAAGGTCCTATATAGCATTTTCAAAGTATGGTTCTATATGGAACCCTATAAAAAAGGTTTTTATTTAGCACTAAAAAGGGTTCTGCTATTGTTACAAGCCGAAGAACCCTTTTCTGGTACTGTTTAGAACCATTTTTCTTAAGAGTGTGGATAACACACACTCACACCGGTTCCTCTTCCTTTCCTCCCATTAGAATATAAATGTAATGAAAATATTAATTACATTTAACTTCAATACATGTAATTGGTTTGAATGATTTTTTGAGGAAAGTTTTTGTAGTACAAAGTTTTTGTCGCATCATCTGTATGTATAGTTTGACATTCGTTCATTCATTCATTCATGGACATCTTAAGAGCTGCAAAGAAAGGTACCTTCCACTCAGAGGATGAGGAACAAGAGAAAGAGAGGGAAATGTGGGACTGGATTTAGTCTCACAGCAAAAAGAAAGCACAAGTATGAGAGAAAGAGATCCTGTCCCTGCTGCAGTGGCTTTTCAAGGCATGTCACGAGCAGACACTGATTTCCACTCAGCGACAATAAAAGTCAGTGACAGCCGCCTCTCTAAATCCTCATTGACCTGTTATGTATAATGGGCTTTACAGAAGGACTTGGCTCTGGGAATTTTTTCTCACATCGAGGGTTTAAAGGAGGAACGGTAGACCGTGATGATTTGGAAACAAAGTGCATTCTGCAAGTTGTGCATTTTTTCCCCTTTCTTTCTCACTTGGGTTGTTTTTCAATGCAGAGAACCGATTAGATGCTCACGTGAATGAAGAGATGTTTGCTGGGATTATCAGAGCAATATATGTGCAGGAAATTATATCCAGAAGGGTTTCTTGAAATTGAAATAAGATTCCAAAAAAGGAGCATTGTATCGAGGAGGAGAATTGTGTTTGGCACTACACAAATTGTGAACTAAACTGTGTGAATCTGACTGAGAATGCTTCCTCTTATAGAAGACATGTTGTGGTACAATATGATACAAATCAAAAAGTGACAATACTTCATAAATTATGTAAATGAATGCTTTTATTCAGCAATGATGCATTAAATTGATCAAAACAAATACATCAAATAAAAAGCATCAAATAAATGCTTTTTTCAAAACTTTCTCTTCATCAAAGAAATCTAAAAACAATCTATTACAGTTTCTACAGTTTCAACATTGATAATAAAAAAGTGATTCTTAAGGACCAAATCAGCATATGATAACTAATAGATCATATGACTGTGGACTGAAGGCTACTGAAGCTTTGCCATCACCAGAATAAACTACATTTTAAAACATAATAGCTATTTTAAATTATAATACTGTTTTACAATGACTGTATTTTTTATCAAATAAATGCAGCCTCGTTGAGCATAAGATACTACTTTCAGAAACATTTTAAAAAACCATAACCCCAAACTTTTGAAGAGTAGTGCACACAAGGAAAGTTTTTATGTATTTTTAGCATACATTATCTCTTAAGCATTAGACAGACATTAGCCATCTCTGTGTGGAATCTGAATGAAGATCAACCCAAGCTGTTGAGGCCTAAACTACTTCTCCAGCTTTCCAAACTTGACCTCAGCTTCTAAAAACACCAAGATTATGACTAAACCTGTACAGACAACCGCATTGGACTTTTAGTTTAGATTAAGCTGGTGTTCAGAGAGCACTAACCCACATTCTAGGCTGATTCATTAGTCCCTCCTTTTTGTTTCTTCTTTTTCCCCTTCTTTTTGTTTAGTCTGCTCAGTCACATTATGAAGTGCTCTTTGTGATTCCCACTTTGGCCGTTCAGTCGCCCTGATTTCCAGCGTACACACTCCCATCATCTCTCACATCTTTATTTCCATTGAGAGGACTAAAGAGCAAAGTAAATAGAAGGTTTAATTAAACTCTGATCACATGAGACTTGATTTGCATAAGAATTTGGCCCTGTGTTTGTTGGGTGAATAAGAGAAAGAGATTAGGCACATAAAGAGGGATATACAGACCAAAGAAGAATAAAAGCAGACTGGGATGGGCTGAGACTTGGCTCACCATTTCTTTACCTTTCACTCTCACAGAAGCCGTTTGGTGTATCATTGTAACACCATGCCTCAGTTTAACAATAAACCAAGTGTTAGGAGTACACTGGACCTTTATTACGACTACAGTTAAACAGGTTAATCTGGAACAAAATGGAGCTGTTTTTATTGCAGAGTGAGAGAGGGAAAATAAAGAAAAAGTTATGCTCTTTGTGTCTGTATAAACCATATCAAGTTAGTGAGTAGTGTCAGTAGGTAGCCAGTAGTGAGACAAATGAGGTTTCTCTGGATTTTATTTGACATAATCAAGCAATGAAACCAATTCTCATGTCCTCTGTAAACCTTTTTAGTTATAAGCTTTGAAGAAGGAACTCTGTCTGCATTTTCAAAAGAAACAAACATAATTTCTTCCGAAATTAAGCTTTGTGTTATGTAATGTCAAAATGTTCCCATGCTCATAGGATTGACTGTTGTTTTGTGTTGTTCCAGGAGCTGCTTATTCAATTCTTCAGGGATGGTCACAGGATGATGATGTCACTGTGGAGCTGTTGAGGAGGAGACGCTGGCTTCTCCTGGAGCCCCTTCCAATGGAAAGTAACAAAGCCAGTCAAGACAGTTTGAAGCCTGAGTCTCAGGATTCACCTGGTATACTGGCTGATGAAGACGCAGACAACAGCTCCCAAATAATGGTACCCTTTATACTTTAACAAAATATTAATTTTCCCTAAGAGGCCATTCACACAGAATGCCTTTTTCCATTCCACTTTACTACTTTTCATTGTTTTCCTATGTAAACACACGCTAGACGGACATCTTTGACCATTGTCACTCACACTTCACACAGCGTTCTAAAAATGAGGAGCTCAAGTAGAAAAAAGTTCAACTTTTAAAAAACAGACACAGGTTATCAAACCCCGGGTTATGAAAATTAAAATTCTGTCATTGATTAATCACCCTCATGTCGTTCCAAACATGGTTAATTATTCATATTTCCTGTCGTTGAGCTAAATTCGCTACACCCATAAGCCCTTCGTTCATCTTCTGAACACAAATGAAGATATTTTTTATGAAATCCGAGAGCTTTCTGACCCTCCATAGACAGCAACACAACTAATACGTTCATGGCCCAGAAATGTATGAAAGGACATGGATAAAATAGTCCATGTGACGTCGGTGGTTCAACCGTAATTTTATGAAGCTATGAGAATACTTTTTGTGCACAAAGAAAACAAAAAATAATGACTTTATTCAACAATTTCTTCTCTTTCGTGTCAGAATTTTGGGGGGCTGTCGGGGCAGTCAGTGCGAGTGAGAACTCTGATTGGATTGGAGTTTATAGAACGAGTCAGTGCTCGAGAATTAAAGTGAAAGTGATGAAAACTAGTAAATGAAGGCGACACAGACTGAAGGCTGTTCTAATGTTAAATGATCTTTCCCAAGCATTCCAATATGCGAATATTTTTATAACAACGTGAGCCGCTTAAAATGAAGAAAATTATCAACATAACTGATATTCAAAATGGTAAGTAAACGCTGCTTTGTTTACATTTCGTATATCTGCGTATATCTAGTATATCCTTGTTTCGGTTTCTCTTTTTAAACTACGAATATTTACTATTGATAGCTACTGATATAGACAGTTAATTCTTCTCACGCAGGCGCAGAACGCACATGTTACAGTTGAACAGCTGTTACACACGCACATGTTACAGCTGTAGTCTGAGTGGTGTTCAAGAGCAGATTTTGGTCCAATGCTACCGACGCGAGGCGACAACACCGTCGGCTTTCATCGCTGCTAGTTCTTTGAAGTCGGCTTGGTGTGTCCCGGCCTTTACGGGTCTTTCATTCTTGGGTGAATTATCCATTTAAAAATAACAAACTTTATTAACAAAATGTAGCTTTAATAACAAAATAAACAAACAACAAAACGGAAACCGTCTCACTGCCAAATGCTACAGTATGTTGCTCTATCTATCTATCTATCTATCTATCTATCTATCTATCTATCTATCTATCTATCTATCTATCTATCTATCTGTCTGTCTGTCTGTCTGTCTGTCTGTCTATCTGAGGGACCATGTGATGCTGACGACTGGAGTACAATTCGGCTTTACCTTAGTGGCTGGGCTAATTAAACTCTAATGTACACAATGAGCAGTTGTACATCCATCTATGTGATCATTTAACCATATGAAAACATCATGCAGAAGTTTTTTAGTATTGAATTAGTTTCCCACATGATGATTACTTCAAAGCACTGTGTATATGCAGTATGTAGTTGCTAATTTTTATGTCCACTGGCTGTTTCCTTTGATGTTGCTTTACAAGGTCTGTGCGATGGAGTTTTAGTGTTTGAACTCCTACCAGCTCCCATATACAAACACATTCCTGTATAAACACTCATACACACATACACCTGGTGCATCATTTATTTCACACACAACAAAGTGCTTCTGTCATTTTTTTATTTTGTGAATTTCAAAGGACTGAATTTCTATTGCTTTTTATGACATGGCCTCAGGCTTTAGTTTAGGCTTTTAGGTTTTTGTTTGCTTTATTTTCAGCCTGTGTTGCTCTGCTTTTGCACTTTAACAGATTAAACTATCAAAGTTTACATACCTTATATTCACCTCTCCTTAACTCTGACACATTTCTTTCTTTATGAGAATTGTATTATTCATATAGTTCCATGCTGAATTCCTCGGTGCAAGGCTGTTTGATAAGACAGTGCAGACATTTATGATCAAGTGTTTTCCTCCTAGGGTTTTACAGACAGCCTTGCTTTGCTCAGTAAACGACAATAGATCAATCTGTGGCAATTTCATTCATGCTCTAAGTGTCTTTTTTTGGATTGTTACTTTGTCATGCATCATGTCCTCCACTCACAGAGCATGTGTCCATACAGGAATTCATTTATATTTGTAATAGTATATATTTTTTTAGCTTTTTTGTCTTTTTTATGACAGGACAGTGGAACAGAGACATTAATTGATTGGAGAGGAGAAAAGGGAACGGAATCAAATTCAAACTTGGTTCATCCGAAACACTGTTACTCTATATGTCATGAATAATCATGTCACACTCATAGCCTTGGTCATGTGATCAAGTGTTTTTGTCACGCATTAGACTAATTGGTAGACAAAATATTAATTTTGGTTTGTTTTTTAAAAGCCACAGATTGGATAATTGGATCACTGATAATGGCCTTTGTAGAAAATAATTTGTAATGGTCAGTAAGTTGAAGGATACAATTTCTCTGAGTTGATTTTCTTTCCGTTAGCTGATCATGTTCTTCTGTCCCTGTCCAAAGCATTATGCTGTTACTAATCAGCAGTCATCATGGGTTGTGTTTCTCCAGGCATTCAGATTTTCCGTCCATGTGCTTGGCATATGTAACCTGCAGAACTGTTAATTTAGTTAAAACATCAAAGTTTTTATATTTTCACTTTTGCTAGTAAATATATATATACAGTACCAGGATCTTCTGATTGCAAGTACTGTATGTGTACACTAACATACATAAATCCACACATATCTAAACACATATATGCCTTATTTATTATGACCTTATGTCTCAATCACCTCTTTCTCAAATCTCTCACCCAGCTGGTGAAATTATTGACCTTTTCACCTAAGAGTTTAAGGAGAACTGGGCTAAAAGAACTCACTTGACCCTTTTGGTGTTTTGTTATCATCATATTTTCCAGGCAGAGGCTAGACAGCTATACAGGTGCTGCTGAGCAACACTCAATTCAATAAACCTCTTAGTGACCCTCATAAATGTGGTCAGCATTGAAAATACATATAAACAAACAGAGATTGGCTCAGTCTTTTGTAAACACGCCTCTCTTAATTTATTCTTTCGGGAGAGTGTTTTTAATTTTAGTGGGGAAGTCTTGGCCTAATGGTTAGAGAGTTGGACTTGTAGCCCAAAGGTTGTGGGTTTGAGTCTCGTATCGACAGGGATTGTAGGTGGGGGGAGTGAATGTACGGCGCTCTCTCCCACCCTCAATACCACGACTGAGGTGCCCTTGAGCAAAGCACCCCCACCTGCTCCCCGGGCGCCGCTGCATAAATGACTGCTCCGTGTGTGTGTGTGTGTGTGAGTGAGTGAGTGATAAGTGCAGAGCACTAATTCCGATTATGGGTCACCATACTTGGCCACATGTCACGTCCCTTTAATACTGGAAGACCTGAAATGGTATTTGTTTGTGATGTGATAATCAGAATGGGCTCGTGGCCCTTGGTTGCTAAAAGCTTACCATAAACAAATATGTGTAGTGTCTGGACCACTCCAACACACAATATATATTTTGTTAGCTAGATTTCACAAATACTTTGTAACACCCCAGGACGCCGAACAAGACCCTGGTTTCATGGTAACCCGATACATTTACAACCTTGTGGAATGCGAGCCGGCTCTCA